GCAATGCTCACGAACAAACCAAACTACAAAGGCTTGCTAGGCTCTCCTAAGGCCTGCCAGCCTTTGCTAATGCTTGGCAGGCCTTGCTTTGCGACCATCAGCTTCTGCTAGCAAACTTCATTTGCCATACCCCCTTAGGGGGTCCCTCTAAATCATAATTCATAACTTATAATCCCAATGGCATCCAAAGCTTCGCTGAATGTGGTAAATTGGAGATGCTTGTCTACATACGAATACGGCACACGGAATAATATCATCGCTGCACAATGTTTGAAATGCACCGCCTGGAAAGTAACATGGTGCAGCAATTTGCAACATGGTTACAGGGTGTGTGCCCACACACGCAGACAAACCAACCAACCAAGTAAGTAACCAAGCAACCAACCAAAAAAACAACAAACCAAGAACCCAGCCAACCAATCAACCAACTAACTAAGGCAGCCAGCTGAAAAGGCATCTCGATCATTTTGTAGATCTCTGGGTGGACATATAACTCCTGGGATAGGATCTCATAAGCTCTCAAACAGCACCGTATGCAAGTCGAAAAATTGAGATGCTGAGCAAAGCAGTAAACACTCAGTGTCGTGCGCAGCTTCAAGCCCGTATCGTCTTCGAGCTTCTTGAGCAGTCGGTCCAAATACTTTTCGGTGGAAGGTGTTAACAAATTCGTTTCATCTACGACAAAGAGGGGCGATCCATCCTCTTCTGCTTTTGCAGATGCTTCCACCTGCATGCGATGAAAGAAGCACGTGTCTTCGGTCCTATGGTTCGTGCAACCCAAGGACCCCCATTTCGGCCACAACTCCCGTGAAAGCCATCCACGATCGTCTACTGCAGCCACGGCCTGCAAGACTACAGCGAAACATCACATGACAGGAATGCTTTCCACACATGGGAGAATGCAAGTCGTCCGTCCTGGAACAGCACCAGGCAATGCAAAGCCTGGAAGCCAAAACATTCTGTTGTCCGGGCTGGTTTGAAACGCCATTTTGCTGCACACGCTCTTTCTGCTCCCCAAGTGACCATCACCCAGGCCACGTGGCCAAGCGAGAACTGCCGCCGCTAGCAAGGCTGCACTTCGGGCACGGGCCACCATGGCTTCTCAAACCGTTGCAGGAGAAGCAAACAAATCCACATACGCCGAACCACCGCTTGGCTTTATTGGAAAGGCTTTCATATCGTTTGCCTCGCCCCTTCTGCAGGATGACCGGTCGTCGTGGTATTGTTGCAAGCCAGAGCCGACAGCTTCGACTAGTTGGTAATTCCTCAATCCAGCAGGTCTGATTCCATGCAAACTGCATCAGGCACCCCTAGCGAAATCTCTGCCAACTTCTCATGTGGAGTCGCTTGCGGCAGAATCGATGCAAGTCAACAACCAGGATATGCAAAATGCAGTGCACCACACCAGAGCAGAAGTTTCGCAGATTTTGCAGACATCGTCCACCGACCTACCAACCAATTTCCTCCGGCTCACAGATCTTGGGAGCTCGAAAGGCTTGAAGAGGATCTGCACTTAGCCTTGCACACAGTGCGCTGTGCGGGAACAAGTTTGCATCTCTTTGCGAGACCAAGCCGAGGCACCAAAGTCGCTCCCATCAGCTTCTCCACGGTGTCACTTTGCCAACCGTTCACGAACATCGTCACTGCTTTGGCCTCAAACACAAGACAATCCACACCTGGGAGCCGCACGTGCTGCGAACAGGAGCATGTGTTTACGGTCTTGGCGCTTTTCTACAGCCTACTGGCCCTTCCACGGCTAGCTACACAGCTTGTGCTGGGCACATGGGGTCAAGTTCGACGTTCCTCCTCGACAGCATCCGAGCTCGATAGGGAGGAATTTGTGGAGCTTCGGAGTGGTGCAACCTGTACTCAGAGACTCAGCTGGCTGTTCGTTCTGCAACCGCATCTGAAGAGTTCAGCCTCGCATCTTCGGTGCCCAAACAGAGACATCCAGGTGCCTGAGAAAATGGCAAGACGTACTACGTGCCATGTTCTCTTGCAGATGCAGAGCCTGGGCACACGCCCCTCATGCAACAGCATCTTGATGCCTGGATATTCTCAGCAAGAGGGGCAGGCCCAATACTGCGCATCTGCCCACGATGCCTCTTCCAACTGCCACAGCCGGGACATCTTTAAGCGCCGTGGCAGAGAGAGCGAGAGAGAGACTCTCATCAGGTAGTCAGATTAGGTGTTCGGACGGTATTAGATTAGTGTATGTCGCCGCCATGGCATTCACGATTGACTTGCTACGCACTCGGCTTCAGCCATGCTAAATTCCCGATTTTTCCCTTTCTGCGAAGATGCTGCGCCTTTACAAAACGACTTTGCAGATTGGCCGATCAACACAGGACGATCAGCAGAAATCTCCATGAAGCAGGTGGATTTGGCAAGCAAGCGCGTTTTTGCAACTTCCCTGTTCTCGTGGCCTCGTTGCACTATGACTGGCAGCATCACGTCCGCAAATCAGCCACGTTTGTCCGTCCACCGGATCCTCGTCCATCTCGAAGTCCTTCCCTGCACGTAGGAGCTGGCATATCCTGCAGACCAATGAGAGCTCTCTCGGCAGAGCAATCTAGCATCTCGCTGGCTCTGTCCTATGTGCAGAAGCGCTCGTTCACCATTCTTATTTCAACTCCTGACAGACAGAAGAATGTATGTTAGATAAGGTAACAGAATTGTCCCGAGGTGTTGTCATCAATGCTCCTCGGGAAGCATCTCTTGCGGCAAGGTGATGGGCAGGTCCTGGTACAATGCGGCCATACTGCCCTCTGATATTCTTCTGAAGTGCTTCTGAAAGCACCACTTCAACAATAACGTTTGACCTGACTGCTTCCCGCACAAGGACAAGATCTTGACAAAGCATAGTGCATGCAATCCCGTGAACATCTAGATCCTAAAACGGTTCTCAACGAACCACAAGCTTTGGAGTTGCGAGGGTTCGGTCATGCCTGACATATGGACAATGTGGATTGGGTGGGGAACATATGCGGCCATTATGTTTCCTCTCCTGTGGCCAGTGCTCTTGGTTGGGGAAAGGAATTAGTGGCAGGAGTGGTTTCGTTTCGTTTCACACGCCGCCAAGGAAGTCCAGGCTGTGCGACAGGATATGTGGTCAGGCTTTCAGCCCGGTCGCTGGTGCGACGCACATAGTGCACCGTCCTTCAAAGACAGTCAGCATGCCACGCCGCGAACGGCCAGAGACATGCTGAGAGAAGCTGCTCACTGAAAAGATGACAACAGGCACTGTACATCCAAGTCCCTCAAGTCCTGGTCCTTGCCTGAAGTCACCTGACATCCCATAGAGAGTAGAAGCAACACAACAACCAGAATACACGATTAAAGCAGCGCCTTATGGAAAATAGGGAGTCTACATCGCGGCTTCCATCACGAGTGAGAGAGAGTGAGTGAGTGAGTGAGTGAGTGAGTGAGTGAGTGAGTGAGTGAGTGAGTGAGTGAGAGTGAGTGAGTGAGTGAGACGCGTCAGACCTGGCTCGTGAAGCGAGTAACGGCGACAAGCCGCCACCCGTGTCACCAGCGCAAAGCGGCAGCCGTAAGTCGGAAGTAAGAAGTCTCGCGCCCTGATGCGGTGCAATAAAATGCAGAGTGAAAGTCACCACCGTCACGGATCGTTCAAGTAAAAACCTGCCCACTCCAAGTGTCCTCTCTCGCGTGCCGTAAGGCGGCCAACTCCACGTGCATGATGCGCCACCACCAGTAGTCTGTTACCAGCATGCCATGGAAAGGTAGCGTGTGCGATGTGCGGGTCAAGTGTAATGCCCGGTGGCTCAACGACCCGAAGGATACCCGGACCGGAGCGTTGGTCAAGGTGCACTGAACCATCAGAATTAGCCATCCAGACCTGCCCACCTTGCCAGCGGCTGCAAGGTATGAGCAGGTTCATGGTTCCGGGCTCGTTCGAGTGATCCTGATGCTTATAGTGGAGGACATTCAAGAGGACAGTGCAACTGCTGTACCTGTGACGAGGGTCACAGTCATCGACCAAGGCGGTCAAAAGGCGTGTAG